CCCGTGTTATTATTTTAATTTACAATAATATATAATATTTTTATTTATAAATATATTATATAAAAGAATTTTGTTTTTATCCTATATATTACTATTATCGTATCTTGTACCATTTTTTTCTTGCACTCTTCGTTCTTTTTATTCTTTACCATCCCATTATAGTGTTTATTGGAATTGAAGAAGCTACGATGACATCACATTGATATAAATGAATCGAAGAAAAAATTCTTATATTTATTTTTACACACACAAAAAGCCGAATGACTAGTTCAAATAAAAAAACAATAGTTTACTTCGTGGTTTGAAATAAATTGAAACAAAAAATAAATGGTAAAAAAAAATAAAACTAATATGCCGGACAACTTTGCCTCCCGAGCCTCAAACTCGGTTCCGACACTGAACATACACATGACAAAATGAACATAGATTCGGCCTGGTGACTAATTATGACAACACGATCTGGTTTTATTTTATATGGTCGTTGTTAGATGATCAGAGTGACCGTTTCATCTAAAAAGTTAAGCTAATATGAATATACATCATTAATTATTTAACTAACATACGAGAGTACCCAACAGTGGTGTTGTGTTTGGCTCAACTGCTATATCAAATCTCATTAAATTTATGTCAGCAATTTACATTTATTTTTCAATGATGAGACTAAAATTAATTAAAATTATTTATAATTAAATTAAGATTGATGAATTTTGTACTACCTCCGTCGGACTCTAAGGGTCCTATTTATTTTTTGCGTGTTGATATTTGAATATTAATTATTATATGAAAACGTAGAACAAATCAAGAAAAAAAAGACAAAAATAATTCTATTAGTATCTTATAATAGTATTATAATGATATTTTTGTAAAAAATTATACAAATATAAAGATATTTTTAATGTTAAATACACTGACGCAAAAGGTAAATAAGACTATTAGAGTAGGACGGGAGAGTATATTGAAACTAAAATGAATAAATTTTAATTATATTAAGACTAGTATTGAGTTTTTTCCATTTATTTATTAAACATAAAAATATTAATTTAATTATTTTAAACAAAGACTATTAAAAGTTTGTGACACGAACAAGATTGAGTTCATTCGTGGACATAAGAAAGTAAAATTTGTAGTTGTATTTAACTCACTTATGGTAATAAATAAGTTCAAACAATCCAAATTGAACCAACACTATAAGAAAAAATCATTTTTGTAACAAAATTTTTTTGTCTCTAAATCTACTTTTTCCGTTATTAATCACATTAGAGACGGAATTAGGAATGAAATTACGTTAGCTACGTGAACTTTAGGAACGGAATTCCGTTACAAATATATTATTTTTTTTTGTAGTGCAAGCTCACAGTAGTTAATTAATTTATACTCTCAATAATGCAAATGCACTTCTAAATATTTCCTTCTTCGGTAAAATATAGATATATATATATATATATGAAACTAAAATATTTTAACAATACATAATACACTACAAGAAAAAATTATTTTTGTAACAAAACGTTTTTGTCTCTAAATCTATTTTTTCCGTTACTAATGACATTAGAGACGGAAATATGAACGAAATTACGTTAGCTACGTGAACTTTAGGGACGGAATTCCGTTACAAATATATTATTTTTTTGTAGTGATATTATTATTATTATTATTATATCATCGATCCTTGCTTTTATAACACTCCTCAAATGGCTACAGCTGAAGCCATGCAATGTGATTGGAGCAGCATTTGACCCCAAAACAATTTAAAATAATAATAATAATAAATAAATAAAATATGTAACATATGTTTTTTTAGCCGAGTTTCTCCAAATTTTACTATTTGAATTTTATGTTTTTCGAAAAAAATATATTTTTTCCCCTCACAAAATATCCCATCAAACATTATTTTCACACTGGACTTGAAGAGAATATATATATAATAGTAATAATAATAATCATAATAATTTGCGAGGAAATTTAAATTTTTCGCAACTCGAGTGGTCTGTTTATATATATATATATATATTTAAATTTCTCTGTCAATGATTTTTAATAAAATGATTTTTTTGGTGTGGATAGGAAATTGTATATTTGATTTTAATTTTTTTAATAATTCTTTAATATTTTTATAATGAGTATTTAAATTTTTTTTGAACTTTTATATAAAATTTATTATTATTATTATTATTATTATTATTATTATCGGAAAATCACAATTAAAAACTAATATTAAAAAAATAGTGGTCAGTCCTTCACAAATTACATACGTGTTTTATACATTGAACAATGACCTCATCATTGTAATCTCTCAAAATTTTCTAATAAAAAAATATACAAAGAATTTGCGAGATCATGCATTTATATATTACTCTTTTTTATCTAAATTTATATTTATTTGCATGTTCCGATTTTGTTCTGAATGTTCAGGAATTCTTTTTAAGTAGTAATAGAAAATATTTTGTTTTATTTTTTAGTAAAAAAAAAAAAATATTATTTTGATACTTTTGTTTACTATAATAAAAGAAAAAAATAATAATAACTATCTATTTTGATTAAAATTCATATTCAACCAAATGAGCTTTATTATCAATGGGAGAAAGAGAATATTAATATATTTTTGTATTGCAATTAATTATTACTCCATTTGTCGGTCAAATTTATTTTTATTTTTTCGCTTTCTTATTAAATTTATTCTATTACTATATTTGAAAAAGTAGGAAAATTAATATTTAATTATTATAATTTATTTAATATTTATTAATAAAAAATACATTAACTTTATTACATTTTGTTTTTTCATTTTCTTTTATTAGTAACTAAGGGTGTATTTTTTTTAGATAATTTTGGTTTGAGTTTGGTTTTTGTTTGAATTTTAAAATAGGTTTGAGTTTTTGTTTTTCTTTTGGGTTTGAGTAGTTTTTTATATGTATTGATTTAATGAGTAATGAATAAAATAATATAAATATGTATTAAATTTAATTGATAAAATTTATATTGTATAATTTGATTATGAATTTATATTATATATAATATATATTTAAACTTTTATTTATTTTTATTACAAAATTTTTTATTGACATAGATATTGTATATATTTTTATCCTATAATTATTATATATATTAAATTATATTTTAATCTAAAAAAAAAGGCGGGAAAAGCTGCGGGTTAGATGATGTCGGCTGAATAATGGACAACCCCACTTTTGGGATTTGCACGGTAAAAATTTCAAAACTGTGTGCACAGTAAAAAAATCCCCCAAATTAAGGTTGAAGAAGTACACTCTAAATTTCAATAAATATTTTCAACTATCTTTTTACATACATATTTTTATTTTTTAAGAATATGTATTTATTCATTTTTAATTTCCGTAGGAGACCTAAATATGGCGGACGAAGGGAGTATATTGTATGGACTAGGGGACGTTTGATACATAAAATAAAATTGTAGGAAAATAATATCAAAAAATAAAATTAATGAGAATTCAATAAAAAATGATATAAATAATTTCAAAAGAAATAAAATCAAGGACGTTGACATCAATAATTTCAATTCTCTACATTAATTTGTTTATACACACGAGAAATAAAATAAAAAATAGTGACATTAATTTCCCGAAAGCCTCATGTCATCTGTCACGTATGGTTCGTCTAGTGTGACTTTTTTGTCGGGCCTAGTTTGCAGGGTATTAGGTTCGGCCGAGGGTTTACCCCGTGCATACTTCCGGGTAGCGGCTGTGGGTTCCCACCATAAAAAAAAAAATAAATAAATAGTGACATTAATTTTTCAACCAATCTTGTAACTCAATCAACAAGATAAATAACTGTTTGTATTTCTTTATTTTCATTTTTCTATATCAAACACACTAAAAAGTATAGCTCATAATAAAATACATTCATTTGATGTACATAGGAACCCACCTAATTAATTAAACGTAATTTTATTAATTAATTAATTAATAGATCAAGAACAACCCCTTAACCAAAAAATAATGATAAGTTTGTTAGTCATGCATGTGGGGTTCAAGTTCAACTAAATAGTAATAATTAATTAAATTAAATATTCAAATCTAAATTCAATAAAAAAAATTATAGTGTTAATTTATATATATATATATATATATATATGACTAGTATTAATCTAGTGCTTTTCAAAGTATATACATGTTATTTGGACTTTTGATCCGAGAAAATCACCGCGTTAACCACCGTCATAATTTAGATATATCACTACAAGAAAATATTACTTTTATAAAAAGGTTATTTCGTCCTTAAATTTATTTTTTACCGTTACTAATGATACTAGAGATGAAACTATGAATGAAATTATATTAGTTACGTGAACTTTAGGGATAAAATTCCGTTACAAATATACTAATTTTTTTTTATTATAGTGTAAGATTAGTGTTTTTTTGGCATCACTGATTCCAATTATATATATATATATTATTTTATGTAATCAATCGATTTATTTTAAAAATTCAATGAAATTCCTAAATAGATGTAGATCAGTTTAAATAAAATTGAATAACTAAATTTTCTTAAATTCCATGTCATTCTATTTAATTAGTCCTTTGGAATATTTTCAAAACACACACTAATGATTGACAATCATCAAATAGTAGGTTGAGTTGTGCAGCAGTTCACTCTACATTTGTCATCAACTCCATTATATATTACTCCCTCCGTCCCATTCGTCCGAGTTACTGTAAACACGATAATTTAGGATAAGTATAATTAATAGATAATTAAAAATGTATTAGAAAAAATAATTATCCTATAATATAAATAACTATAGATTAAGATTAAGATAACTAATTATAAAATAAAAATATTTAAAATGAGATTAAAGTGTATAATCATTTAAAAAAAAAAAAGTGACATGAGATGTGGAACAGAGGGAGTATTATTATTTTTTTTAAAAAATTAATTAATTAAATTAAACCCTAATTGATGATCCATCATTATATTTAATTGGTTGCAAATGAATATCCTCAATCAATCAATCATTAATTCTTCCTTCTTCATCAAGACTCGATCGAACTGATCATTCCCTTTGTCTATTAAAACTACATTAAAGCATAACTACATACATACATACACATATATATATATATGTATAGTTGAGCATATATAAATTAATTTAAAAAATTAGGGTTTTCTGAAGAAACATTGATCGAATCAATCGATCATCATGAATGTGAAAGAAAGTCGTGTGGAGAGGTTCTTGCTTCTTCCTTTCTCCCTCGGCTGTGATTCCAATTCGAGTGTCGCCATCGCCGGAGACTCGCCGACGAAACACTCTAAAACAGGTATTTATATTTGAATAAAAATGGCTAAAATACTGATCGTTGATCTCGGCTATATCTTTTTCAGTCGCTTCACAAATTCAAATTTGTTTAATCATATCTTGAGATTGAGAAAATGTGTTACAATATATTTAGAAGCAATATATCATATTTACGGTAGTTGTCTTATTTAAGAGATTCGTAGAATTCTTGTTTTCTTTAGACGATTTGTATGTACATATTCGATTTGTATGTAAATATAAATATGTACGTATTCTTATGATTGAGAAATGTATGATTGAGAAATGTATGTACCTGATGATCAGATTATAGTTCAATTTAATCTAACTTTGATTTACAGGATTAAAGGGTGGAGAAGATCAGAATTTGTTCATGAAGAAGAAGAAGAAAAATGGTTTTTGGAAAGTGACATTTTCCCAAGGATTTTCCAGATTCATCAATACCTTCAAGAGTCTCTCTCAAATTTTTGGTAAGTTTTTGGTTTTGTTTAATTTACTAACTTTCACTCATTTGTCACGGTTAACTTTTATTAAAATTATCACATCAAATACATTTTTTTTTTTACAAATATCAAATCAAAAAACAAATTTTTTCATTTTTTCAAATTTCAAAAATTTCCAAAAACTCCTAACTAAAAGAAGTAGGTTCTAATACAAAATTGTACAAAATTACATGATAAAAGTATTAATACTAGACTAAATTTATAACCTTTTTTTTTTTTTTTTTTTTTTAATGAAAAAGATAATACATTGTATTGAGTACATATTAGTAGGTATTTATTGTTGGGTATAAGGTAGTTTAGGTAAACTAATAATGACTGAATTATTATTTAAGTTTTTGTGGTGGTTGGTTGTAAGACAATATTGCAAATTTAGTTGAGATGCAAGCAATAAAGTAATCATCACCATCTTGACAATATATATATATATATGGAAAAATTGCAAAAAATATGCATAATGTATATCATATTATCACTTTTGTCCTATATTTATGTTGATGATAAAATATATCTCATATGTTTACAAAAATCATTATTTTTATCATTTAGCCGCGCGTGTTTGCGCATGACTGCGCATGGTGTGAAAGTCACGCGGCCAAAGGACATAAACAGTAACATTTGCGAACATGTGGGATATATTTTGTCAGATAGATAAATACATTGAAAAAAATAATAATGGGTACACATGAAGGATATTCTTTGCAATTTTATTTTTTTTTTATATATATATAACAAATATGTATATAATTGTAATTTCACTTCCTATTCTTATCTTTGTTATATATATAATTGTAATTTCATTTTCTGTTCTTATCTTTGTTATATATATATATATATATATATTAACTTTATAAATTAAAACTCCAGTCATATTATTTTTTAATTTCAAAATATAAAAAAATTACTATAAGGGTGAGTTTATAGGCATACATGTTTTTGAAGTTTTGACTTAGAAAATCAAATCAATTATTTATTTATTTTTATTTAAAATATCATATTAAAATTTATATGTATAGATAGATTGCTTATAATACTCCCTCCGTCCCCAATACAATAGTCCTGTTTATTATTTATGTCCGTCCCAAAATAATAGTCTCATTTTCATAAATAATCATATCACTATAAAACTACATTTACTTTTTCATTATTATTACACAATTTTCACTACTTTTTATACTAATATATTCACGAGGACAAAAAAATCTTTTACTCATACTTTTTACCTATTATTAATATAATATCAATATTCTTTAAATCCCGTACCAAATACAACCTAGACTATAATTCTGGGATGGAAGGAGTAGATTGTATATAAAAAATGAAATAAAATACCAAATTGAGTTCGATCCAAATTAATTGAATACTAAATTAAAGATGCTTTAATTTACAATATAATTGATTAATTAATTATGTCTGTTTATGATAATGTTTGTATGTATGTCTCTATTCTCCCACGCCACCTAATTAAGATTCTTCTGTCTTTATTACATTAATTAATGGAACAAAGACGATAAGGATATATTCATCGGGTCAAATCAATATATCAATGTATATATGATACTCCCTCCGTCCCGTGAGAGATGAACCGTTTTATTATGGACACAGTATTTTAAGTAGTGTAGATTAGTAAATTATTAATAATAAGTTATGATATTAGTTTATTATTTTTTATATGAATAATATTATTGGTATTTTAAAATTTTTTAAGATTATTTCTCGAAAAAATATATGGAATATGGGTATCATTTTATAGATAATAAAATTTTATATAATACAAATAAATAAAAAAATACCATACATTAATTTTATAAAAAATGAGGAATTTTAAATATAAATAAAAAAAATTATGTTAATTGAGGAGAAATATAAAAATAAAGGGATTTTGAGTGGGTCGTAAGATGGTAGAAGTTTAATTAAATTGATTTATATTTGTTAAGTATATTTAAGATCGATAAAGTTACCAAAAATGGAAAGAGATCATCTTTTGTGGAACGTACAAAAAAAAATGAATCATCTGTGACGGGACGGAGGGAGTATATTTTTATATAACATAACATATATTGTATTATATAAAAGTATGTGATGTGCAATTTATATATTATATTGTATTATATATATATATTTGTTGGACTGAAAATCAATAATAGTTATACTTATTAGTATATTGTATAAATATATTTTAGATACTAAAATAAATGATAGTAGGTGTTGTGTACATAAATGTTATATATATAATTTTTATATAAAATATTTATTTAAAATTTGTAAAATATTAAAAAATAGTTTTGTAATGTGGGAGTGAATTTTTAATTATAAGGTCAAACCTCCAAAACTCTAAATTTCTTGTTTGTTTGTTTATTTTTTATTTATTTATTTATTTATTTTTTTGTTTTTTTCAATTATAAAATTCTATATACTCTCTAAATTAGATAAAATTAATAATGATATTATATATTAATGATACTTTGAAGGGTTTCTTATTTTTGCTTTGCCCGAACTTTTCGAAAGTCAAACCTGATTTGCAAATTAAATGTGTTCATTATTTTGTGTCTATTATAAATATTTTTAATTTTTAGTAAAAAACTATATTATTTTTAAAACTATTTACTAAAAAAAATATATATATATACACATATTTTAAAACCCTCGTCAAGAATTTTTTATCTCATTAATTAATTACTTTATGTGCTACACTTTTATGGGTGGATGGATGGATGCAGTTTACAAGAAAGAGTTGGAGGAAGAGGACGACGAAGAAGACAAGGAAATGGAAATGAAAATAGGGTTTCCGACAGATGTGAAGCACGTGACACACATAGGGTTAGATGGATCCACCAATCATCATCATCATCACCTTCTTCCTCAGTACAGCCAGACCCTAAACCCTACTACTGCAGCTCCTGAAACGGTGTCGTTTCATTCTCTCTCTCTGCAACTATTCCAATCCGCCATGGCTGCCCAAGCTCAAGCTCAAGCTCATAATTCCCTCCATACTCCAACTGCAGCAGGACCTTCCAATTAAATCATCCACCGTATAACCAAATCTATTCCCCAATTTTACTCCTAATTTCGTATGATTCGAATATCACCTGTAATAACTCCCCCCCCCCTCTCTGTTTGAATTGAAACATTGATTAATGTAATAGGTTTGCCTCACCTTAAAATAGGCACTAGTTGAATGAGTACATTTTATTCGTTAATATTCTCATGTGTTTTTGTTTTCTAGCTCTTCTAATTTTTCTTTCGTTTTTCTCACCAAAAATATTATATTCAATGCTCATATTCTATACAAAATATTATATCAAACTTTTATTTCACATTATAATTTTTGGAAAAAAAAAACATAAATAGAAAAACAAAAACACAAAAGAACACACATGCTAAATCTTTAACACTTTTTTTTTTGTCTTTCTTGCTTGATCGAATCTTTCATCACAATGCTAGAGTTTGTTTATTTGTACTTTCAAATATATTTATGTACTATTCTTTCTATTATTATTTTTTTTTTGAGAAAAATATATCACATATAATATAATTTTATTTAAGAACATTAGATTCAATTAATTTCACCTATATGAATCAAAACATCAAAATGAAACTAGCTCGACTACCACAAAAATATTAATTATCTTGAGAAATTACTTTGGAAAAAAAATCCAAGACAATCTTCTGTCACATAATCTTTCTTCGAAACAAAATAGTATCTCAATTATGATTTGAGACATCGCTGTGATAATTTATTTCAAAGATTATTTCATGACACTATATTGTTACATATTTCTCTCGAAACACCACCAAGAATAGAAATTGTCTCGAAATAAAACCTGAAAATACTCAGACTTTGATTTATCACGAAAAAAAAAAATCACAAAAAATATTTTGTGTATGTTTGTTTGAGGGATTTTCCCCAAAATCTATCATTTATCAATTTTTTTTCCTAAAAATATCAAATCAAAAACCTATTTTTTATTTTTTTACTCCCCAGTCCATTTTCTAATGTCCTAATTGATATTTACACATTTTTTTAGGCAATTAGTGTTTTTGTTATGAATTGATAAATTTTTCCTTTATCTGGTGTGTAGAAAAGAAAATGGTAAATAAAGTAAGCGCAAAACAATAAATTATGTGTATAAAAAAAGAAAGAAGACAATAATTGTGGGACGTTCCAAATAGAAAAGTAGGACGTTAGTTTATGGATTGATAGAGTATTATACTAAAAATTGATTGTATATTCAAAACATCACATCAACACCTATTTACATTACATCATACAACTATTCTAATTCAAAATTTTTACTATTCAAATCCCAACTCAAAATCCAAACCCCCAAACAAACACACCCTAAGAGTATGAATTGTCTCGAAACGAATCATAATAAATATGTGAATATATGTTGTCTCAAAATTCATCATGAAAAAATTCGAGAGCATGATTTGTCTCGAAATAATTCACAAAAATCCTCAGAGAATTTGAATCGTCTTCAAATACGTCGTAAAGAAATATTACAAGAGTGAATTATCTCGAAATAAGTTGCAAAAATACTCAAAGGGGCTGTTTGGTTCAAGGATTTAATGAGATTCTATGGGATTTGGATTTTAAAATCCCATGAAATCCATGTTTGGATAAAAAGAAGAAGGTGTAATTTAAAATGGTGAGATTTAAAAAGGAGTCTAAAATCCTGCAAATAAGGGATTTTTTTTTAATGGGATACCCCTGTTACTTTTAAATCTCATTCTTAAAATTTTAATTTTTACATTTATATCCTCTTATAAAAAAAATAATAGTATTATATTTATATAAAAAATTAAATACTTTCAAAATTAATTATTATTTGAATGATATATTTAATTAAATTTATATTATTTTTTATTGTACAATATTTTTAAAATAAATTAATAAATTCATTGTTTAAATTATTATTTATTATAAATTTTATTTGAATTATAAAATTATAGGGACGACCATAAGTCGGGTTTAGTCGGAACTGATATTCATCCCAAATATATATTGTTAAATCCGAAATTCAAATTGGATCCGATTATACTAGATCCGACCGAGACTATACCCGGTAAGACTTGATGGATCCGAAAAATCTATTTTTTACAATTTTTAAATTTTAATTTAAAATTACACATGTACCAGATCCAATGTATATTAAAATTTATGTATTTTATTAGAAAAATATTATAATAAAATAATGAATACGTTAAACTCAAAAAATATTTTAATATAATTATATTATTCGAAATTATTTTTTCATATGTATGATTGATATATTATTATTATATTACCCTGATCATGACCCGGATCCAGGCCTAATACTCAAATAACTGGACTCAACTTCAAATAAATAGGTCGGGCTCGGTAGGGTCTCAAGTTTACGCGAATCTATTGTCGTCCTATAAAATTATTGAAATATTTTCAATTTATATTAATAATAAATTAGAGGTTTAATTTGTCAAAATAAATAAAATTCATAAGATGACAATTATGTCATTTAGAATATAAAAAATCTAAATCCACGAAATATAAATCCCACCACATTTTACCAACCAAACATAATATGGGATTCCAAATCCTAAATATAATAAATCTCATCACATATAAATCCTACTGTAAAATCTCAATCCCACAAAAAAAGTCCATGAACCAAACAACCCCCAAGAGTTTGAATTGACTCAAAATAAGTTGCAAAAATATTTCGAGGGTATGAATTTTCTTGAAATGAATCACAAAAAAAAAAAAAATGCGAATATATGTTATCTTGAAATTGTCATGAAAAAATTTTAAAAGCGTGAATTGTCTTGAAATAAGTCACGAAAAATAGTCCAAGTTTGAATGGTCTCGAAATAAGTCGCAAAAACTATTTCGAAAGTTTGAATTGTCTTGAAGTAAGTTGCAAAAATATTTTGAGAAGATGAATTGTCTCGAAACAAATCACAAAAAAATCTGTGAATATATGTTGTCTCAAAATCCATCACAAAAAATTTTGCAAAAATTGTTTTGAAAACACTGTGAAAAATACTATGAGAGTTTGAGTTGTCTTAAAATAAATGAGGTGTATTCAATTTAAAGTTTATAGGATTTCATTGGATTATCAAAATCTAGGTGTAGTCAATCTAAATATTTAAAAGTATTTCAAAATATAGTGTATTCAATTCAAAATTTTAAAAATCTTCTAAAATATCAAAATATTCAATACAAATTTTAAGAAGTTTTAAAATATCTTTAGGTATTTAATCATTTATAAATTTTGTTGGATTCTCTTGTAAGGTTATTATTATAAAATTTATAGTAGGAGCATAAGATTTCAATGAATTCTCAAAAGTTAAAAAATATTATTGTATTGATATTATTAATAATGATTTATTTTATGCATTTTAATATTTTATTATAATAATATCAGTAAGAGAAGAAATATTAAAATATAAATAAAAAAATTACAAATATTGAAATTTTTAAATATATGAAATAATACTAAGAATTATGGAGCATATATTTAAACTAATGAATTAGTCTTGCTCAAAATTTATATATCCTTGCAATATAAGCATTCATTATTTTCACTCGTGTGGGAGATTTGAATGAATTCTCATTTTGAGAATTCATAAAATTCAATAATGATTAAATATTTAATCTATTTTTAAATCGGATTATAGTAAGTGAGAAATGGATGAGATGATTGGTAAAATATGATTTCTATGCCATATAATTATGTGTTAAATGGAGTTGTAAACTCAGATCGAGTGTCGGATCTAGTCGATGAGCTCACAGATCGGATAGAAAAGCTCAAAAAAATTCTATTCATACTATGTAGATAAGTCATATTTTAAAATTGATTTTCATATTTAATACTTAACATCATATCTAGTGGATATGATTCTTGATATCATATCTTGTGAGATATGATTCTTAACATGATTGTTACCTAGATTATCGGTACTATATCAGGAGATAATCCCCAATTGTTTATTGAGTAGAGAGCCTATAAATAAGTATAACACCTAGACTATAAACCTTACTTATATAAACCTACACACTCTTATCTCAATACTCTCGTATTCTTTCTCAGCCGACTATGTTATTTTCTCCATATTTGTCATACCTCTTGCTAGTGGTACTGCTTAAAGAGGATATAAGTTGTTTTATTTTTGAGAGTGACACAGATACACCGGAGCACTATCGGTTGTATTTTGGTTTTTGGAAAGAGATCTTCCTCGACTTTGCTTCATTCCATATTTTTCATTATCGTCTCATATTTTTCAACAATCTCAGAGCGAAATGTAGGTGATAATGAACCCTATTTACTTATGGATAGCTCTTCACCACCAAGACCGCCGCTGCTGCAACCACCTCCTACAAAAGACAGTGAGAGAGAGAATTTCTATCCAAGACTGTGGAACCTTGGAAAAATAATGATCCCACTTTTTTAACTGTTGGATCGAACTGAAATTTCTAGGGAGCATTCGTGACTCATTGTTCTCCATCCAATGATGATATTTTCGATCAGGAGTCTGTACCTCTACCAGAAAATTACAGAACTCGGTGGTTTGTTACTGCTCCTCGTCGTCTGTAGATTGGGTCTAAAATTGGATGAACGATCAAATTTTTCTCTCTCGATTGAAAGCAAACACAAATATGAAAGTTTGAGAACGAATATAAATTTAAAAATATTATTATTATTAAAATAAAATAAAAATGAGAATAATAATAAATATATTTTTTGAGAAGGAATGTAGTTTTAATGTTTTTGTTAAATATTTGAAATTTTTTATATACATACAATGTGTATTGCATATATTTGAAATTATATAAATCAATAAAAAAAATATTTAATCCACAAATTTATAAACTCTAATGAAGTTTAGGGAAATCAATAAATAATCCAACCAAATATATCAAAATTCATATAAATCAATAAACAAAATCAATTAAACTCTGCATAGATTCTATAAAATTTATAAATCCACTCAAGTTTACGGACTTTTCGAAATTCAAACAAATCCCTTAGTCAATTTTAGGTAGTTATTAGTAAGTTAGAAATGATGATTAATAGTTATTTTAGAAGGAATTATTTCTCGGTGGTTGTAACCACCAATCTTTAGAAGTTCTCTATTTCCTTATAAATACCCTATCCTATTGTACAATAATATCATACACACAACCAATCAATCCATACATCCAAAAATACTCTATTTTTTTGTCCCGTAAAAAATGGCCTAATGATGCGGGGTGGACTCGTGACCGTAAGAAGTCATAGGTTCAAACCTCCGACTCCTCCAGGTCACCTGTCACACATAGTTTGTCTAGTGTGACTTGTCTTGTCGGGCCTAGTTTGCAGGGTGTTAGGTTCGACCAAGGGTTACTCATTGTGGACTTTCGGTAGCGGCTGTGGATTCCAATTTTTTCCTCATTTTCTTTCAATTCCTGCATTTATTTTAGCCTATTTTAGAGTACAATTTCCTATCATATTTCTCTACTTCATCGTTACCCAAAATTTCCATGTTCAAACTTAAATTGTCTAAGTTAAATTTCAACAAGGTTGTGGAAAGGCGTAGGAAGTTTAACTATCCATACCTACAATCACGTCATATAATAGAAATTAGGTGGTTCGTAGCATCTAAGTATGCGAAAGCCGACATACATAGTCGTGAGCCAAATAAAAAATGGAGTTTCATCCCATCATTTACTAATATATATTTGATGGGATGAAACTCCATTTTTGAAACTTATTGTATTTCATGTTAAAACTTATCGTATTTCTTTCATATTTTATTTGCAAATATAATTTATTATTGTTCTTCATATTATTGAAAGGGGATTGTGTTTTTCAATTAATATGCATACTGAAATTCTTACAATAAAATTTTTGTTTAAATTTTAAAATTTTAAGTTTTATTATGCATAAAGTAACTGTCGTATTATATTAATTCTTATTATTTTTTATTATTATGTATTTTTTTTAGTTTATGCTAATCAATTCTATTATTTTGATCCAAAAAAATAACAAAAAAAAAAAGGATGCGCAAAAAGGAAGAGGCAAAAAAAGAAGACAATGTAAGTATTTTCTTAATTATTTATTATGAATTTTTTTACGGACAATTGGGCAAAAATCCCTCTGTCCATTTATCAATTGGGATTCAGTCCCTAATGATAAAAAATTTGTCTGCACTCCCCCTTTTTTCCTTATTCTTTCTTCTTTCTCCCTACTCGTATTTTTCTTCATTCTGTTTCTCTTCGCGCAAAAAATTCTTCTCAAGCCGTTGTCCTCTTCCGTGAGCTCGAAAGCCACATCCCGCACAGGTAAGGTTCTTAATTGTTCGCCCGATTTTACATCGCCGCTTCTTGTCTGGTTCGATTGAAAAATTTCCTAGGGCACTCTCTGAATCCTGTTCCGGTCCCCTGTCGTCGGCGGTCGGTTGATTCGGTCGAAGAACTACCGAAGGCTGTCACCAATTCCCTAGCCCGTATTTCTTGTTCTCCGGTGAAATTAGATGTACCAGGTGTGTTTTTGTGTCGGTTGATTCGGTCGAAGAACTACCGAAGGCTGTCACCGGTTCCCTGGCTTGTCTTTCTTGTTCTCCGGCGAAATTAGATGTACCAGGTGTATTTTTGTATCGATATCTTAGTTGGAAAATTATTATTTGGAAGAAAATGTTTGGGTATTATTTTGGGTGATTTTGATAATAAATTTTGTTGTTATTTAGGGTTTAAGGGTAATATTTATTTTGTGAAATGGGTAATTTGTTGCTATTGAGGATCAAGACATTACTAGAATTCCGTAAGAACATATGATTTTAGTGTATTTTGTGTAAGATTATCTAATCGCCCATACGACCTAATATAGTTCATACATTCATAGGTTGGATCGTTAGGTTCCGATGGACATGGAGCAAAGTAGTCTGAAATTATTAATTATATGTTCCTACGAAGGTGAGCATCATGTAATTCGTTTAGAAGAGGGCACCACGCTGGAGGATCTTTACCGGAATATATCGAAAAGATGGAATAAAGTGAGTATTGAGGCGGTAAAACTCCAATATATTGCACCTATTCAGAAAAGCTACGTGACGTTATTGTGTGACGATGATGTCGCCAATATGTGGAGAATGCATATCTTGTTAAAGGTAATGTTTGTGGATATGATTGCACGGTGTAGAAGCGAGCACCAGAGCGTGCCTCTCCGAAGCACGGTTGGACGCAGGTACGTTATTCATCGTTTGTAATTAAGTAGTCTTTATTAAACTTTGTTATAGAATGCAGTCTCAATTGTTCCTTATGAAAGAATGCAGTCTGTAAGCACTTATAATGCAGTATGTAAGAATGCAGTCTGTAAGCACTTATAATGTCATGTTCAACACATCTAAAAACATATTGTTTATAGGTTACGTTAATAATTCTTTCATGATATTGGCATACAACAATACCGTGGTATATTGTTGCGATGTTGTTTGTAGGTAGTAAGTATCCACCTCCGCGATTTTGTAGTAGCGCGGTGCAGAACGAACCACTGAAGAGATTGTAAAGATATGTAGTGGGGATATAACGTCTTGAAGGTATTTAACGATTTTCACTCCTTCTTTACACGCCACTGTCAATATCCTCTAGCAATCCGGTTTAGGTAGGTGTACCATGATCGATGCGTTGAAATTTCTGTAGCCCATGGCATTTACTGCATCATATAGCCTGCTGCGGTGAATAGATGCAGTTGTTGTTTTAAATACCCTGGATGACACGGTAGGTAACCATAGACACCGTGGACATACTCGGTTGAGTAAGATGGGTACCCATGTTTTTCTATTTACGAAGAAAATATCTATTACCATATAAAATTAGAACTACTTACATCTGATATAATTTTCATTCTTATTATTGTATTTGTAATGTAGGGGTGAGGCCGAATGTTCGGGATTGAACGAAGATTGCGCAGATGGTATCTTTATTCCCGACGAAAGTACTAGTCTAATTGCAATGCAGAGATGCATTGTCGGGGAAGGTCAGACATTCAAGGGACCGCAGGAGTTTAGAAAGTTACTGAAGAATTATTCTATTGCCACTCAGAAACACTTCAGGTACCAAAAGAATGATTCGAGCAAAATTATTGCGGTGTGCATCGACAAAGGCTGTGGTTGGCGTATTTATGCATCCTTCTATGCTCGTGATGCATCATTCAGCATTCGTAAGTGCAATTTACATCACACATGTACTATGAGTCTATTGCAATCAAGAGATCATCCAACAGCCGATGCGAACTGGATTTCTGAGGTCTACAAAGATAAGATACGTTCTATGCCAGCGTATAAGGCATCCGACATCCGGGAGCATATCCAAACAGATTATGGGATTGACGTGAAATATCATAAAGCATGGCGTGGCAAGGAGAATGCGATAAGGGCAATTAATGGTGGAGGTAGAGACAGTTTCTCACAACTTTCGTGGTACTGTCATGCACTTCGGGAGTCAAATCCGGGAAGTATTATAGACTGCGAAGTTGAGCAGGCAACCAAACGTTTCCAGCGCCTTTTTGTTTGTTTAGGTCCATGCCGGCTGGGTTTTTTAAGGGGTGGGGTTGCAGGCCCCTACTCTTTCTTGATGGGACACATATAAAAAACAAACACAAAGGGTGTCTGCTAAGTGCAATTGCAGTGGATGGGGATGATGGGATGTTTACTTTAGCATTTTCTGGTACGTAATTTGATATTAGCTACAGTTGTCATTTTGTTAGAATGCTGGGTATAGCTGTTCGTGTATGCTGTTTTCCATGCTCTCTTTAGTCACGTATGTACCCTTATACGTTGGAAACCTTTGTAGTTATTTGTGTTCTTATTTGTTGACTTGCAGTTGTGTCTACGGAAAATGATGAAAATTGGGAGTGGTTTTGCTGGAAGCTGCGATCCGTTTTAGAATGTGAGGTACGTACGGATTGGAAACAGTACACATTCTTCTCGGATCGGCACTCGGGTTTACTAAAGTCAATCTCGTGCGTCTTTCCCGGAGCACATCATGCGTACTGTCTCCGACACTTAGTGGACAACTTCCGTACCCAGGTATATGTACGTCAATATTAATTTGTAATGAACATCACTGGTTATGATCAGCCAAAAAATGTCTTTTTTTAGGTTATGCGGAGATACCCAATGCATAATAAGAAACGATGGACCGCTGTCTTCAATAAGGCCGCCTATGCTCCGTTGAGGAGAGATTTCGAAAACCACATTAGTTCTGTGGTCGAATCAATGCCATTGGCCAGGGACTTCATTACCCAATCACACCCAGAATGTTGGGCAAATTCACTATTCAGAGGCACTCGTTGGGGAATAATAAATAATAACATTGCTGAGTCATGGAATAGTTGGGTGAGATCCGCGAGATCAATGCCATTCGTTGGGATGTTGGATACCATTAGAAGGCAAGTGATGGTAATGATGAATGAACGCCGCGAAAAGTCAGAGATAATGCACGGAAGGCTCTGTTCAAAACAGGAGAGCAAGTTGGCACTATCGTACATGGCATCTCGACGGCTACAGTGCAGTTCATCCTCTAGAACTGAATTCGAGGTAACATATTGTAATGAAAGATACGCAGTCGATTTGGAGGCGCGCAAATGCTCTTGTCGAGAATGGCAAATGTGCAGATTGCCCTGCAAGCATGCCTGCACTTGCATTGAAAAATGCAGTATGTCAATTTATGATTTTGCGATCTTTACTACAGCATTGAATGCTACAGAAAAACGTACCAGGAGCCAATAAATCCCGTACCGACGCATGATATGGACGTGATTGTTGAAATTCAGGCGGACCAAATTCACCCTCCTCCGTCGTCTGTCCAACCAGGCCGGCCAAAGAAGCGAAGGTTCGAGTCCCAGCAGGTAAAGAATCCACGAAAATGTGGTCGTTGTGGGCGTCTTGGACATAATAGAAGAAGTTGCAAGCAACAAATAGATTAGCAAACTTTTTTTTCATTGTACATCTTTTTGGCTTCCAGGAGTATATATTAAGACAGTAGGTACGTATTCAATAGCTATATTGTAATTGTTTTTTGTGTCTCTAGGATGTAACCGGTTGGATCCACCGACTTATTTGCAGTAGTAAGTGGTATGTAGCCCTCTCACGCAGGTATATGATGAAGTTGTGAAGGTTCATAGTTATATTCTGCAGGTATATTTTTCATGTACTGAGGCATTTGATGATGTAGCTCTGTAGGGACGGATGGTTAATGTAATATCTAATTGTTTTGAAAGTACATGCTATCCTATTTTTGGGTTATTACTAGGAGGTATAGTTGTTGTATTAAACTCGTCATACTAACCAAGTGCATATGTCATACAACTTAAGTATTTGTTGATGCCTTCTTTAACCATCAGCAGTAAGTACATGCTATTCGAAGTAAAAAACAAAAAAAGACCGTTTCCCCAGCCACAGGTAACCAGGGCATACATAATTGCAACTGAAGTATAATGTCACGGTTGTTGTAAGTACGCAATAGCTTACAGAGGGTATATGAATAATGATTCCAACATATAGGGTTGCGGTCCGAGTACAAACCATATCTCATTTTGAATCAATTTTAGTCCAAGTCTCCCATTTTTTTATGAATCAATTTTTTTATTCTTATTGTATATATTCTCTCTATACATCTTTTTTTTTTTTTTGTCCATCCCGCACAAAAGATTATTCATTTATATTTTTAATAAATTTATTAATTTTAAAAATGTTTAATAAATATGAATCAATTTAATTAAATTTTTAACATTTACATGTAATACCCACTCAAAACCCCTTTCTTTATATCTATTTTCTTAGTTAACAAATATTTTTATTTATCTTTAAAACTCTCCATTTTTTTATAAAACTAATTTATGGTAATAATAAATAAATAAATATATTTTTTATTTATTTGTATTATATTAAATTTTATTCCTGATATTCATATTCTATATATTTTATAGAGATATAATGTTAAAAATATTAAACATATATTTTACATATTTCTAATCATTAAATAACTAAAAATAATTGAAAAATTCATACAAAAAATGGTAAACGGTTTATTTATTCACGTATCTGACATTTTTTTTTTATCATTTTAGGAGTTTAAGTGGATTATGTCTGCAAATAGTTTCGTAATTAAAAATTTCGCTAAAATGGTCATCCGGTGTCGGATTTGCCACGCTAACCCGCCGTTGCTAACGTTGCGCTGATGCGGCTGACATGTCATCGTCACGTCAGCGACACGTGAAATTCTTTTTATTTTTTAGTATTTTACAAAATATCTTGGTAAACTATTTTTTATTCATGTATATGACCCCTTTGTCATTTTTAGGATATTTAAATGGACTATGTCTGAAAATAGTTCTGCAAGTCAAATTTTTTCGCTAAAATAGTCCTCCGACGTTACACCTCCGTAGCGATGACAGGTCAGCCGCGTCAGCGCTATGTCAGCAACGGCGGGTCAGTGTGGTGAGTCCGGCACCGGATAACTATTTTAGCGAAAAAATTTTACTTACGGAACTATTTTCAGACATGGTTCATTAAAAGTCCTAAAATGATAAATTGAGTCAGATACGTGACTAAAAGAAGAGTTTACCCTACAAAAAATTATGATAAATTTAACATATAAGAATTTTATTTTATTGTAGTAGTTCTATTTTTACTGTCTGTCTTTTTTTTTTAAATAAATTTTTTGTTATTCTTATTTTTTATAAATGAATTTATTTTTAATTTTATTATGTATGTTATATTTTTAAATTGATTTGATTCGAATAATATGTATAATATAAATATTATTAGTAAAAAAAAAAATATTAAATCAATATATAATTTAATATAAAAATGACATGTGCATACCATGGGTTAGACGGTAGTATCAATATATATAATTTAATTTACTTTTATCTTGTTTAATTGAAATAAAAATAAAAATAATTGATTAAAGTTACAATTAGTGAAAGAAATTATGAATTATGCACTTGCAACAAATATTGTTGCTAAATTCTGCGGCAATCAAATTATATACTAATAATGTTTACTTAGTTAATAATAATAAATTATATAATTAATAATATTAAAAATTTTAAAATAATTTTAATATGTATAATTAAAAAAAAATTAGAAATGTATGTAAATACTATTTTCAAAATTTTATCGTAAAAAAAATATATACAATATAAATATTATTATGTAGAGAATAAAATTTTATATAATAAAGTAAACAAAAAAAAAATACTTTTATTTGTTTATAATTAACATAAACTAATTTTACAAAATATTTAAAATTTTAAATATAAATAAAAAAAAAATTTTAAGGAGAAAGATAGAAATTTATTTTTTTAGTAAAAATTTATTTGAACAGGTTCCACGTAATTTATTATATAAATACTAGCTACGTCCCAATTCAAAATATATTTTTTAATATTTTCGTTTGTCCTACTTCAAAATATTATTTTCCTTACTTAAAAAAAATAATAATCATACACTAATACCAAAATATCTTTAATTTTTGCTTATATTATATATAAAGTCAAATGACAAAAATGCAAAAACTCTTACACACTTTTACTAACCAATAAAATAATACTATTTTTTTTAATATATTACAAAACCCCATAAGACCCTTGAATTGGGACGGAGGGAGTGTTAAGATAAACTGATTTTTTAGTGCATGGATCCTTTTATCATTTTAGTCTTATAACTGGAGCTTGTCGCAAACTAGTCCCGTAAGTGAAATTTTCACATTTTAGTCTTCCGATGTCGGAGATGCTTGCGTGGTACCCTCGTGACTTGCCGGAGGATATGTGTCCGCCCGGTCAGCGACACCTAGCGGACACGTGAATTTTTTTAATTTTTTTAAAATTTATGTATTAAATACATAAATTAAGGATTTAGGGTTTATAAAAATTTATGTATTTAATACATAAATTAAAAATAAAAAAATTCACGTGTTTGTCCGATGTTGCTGACCTGGCGGACACTTGTTCTCCGATGAGACATACAGGCATCTCCGACTCCGGAGGACTAAAAGTGCGAAAATTTTTCACTTACGGGACTAGTTTGCGTTAGGCTCTAGTTATAAGACTAAAATAATAAAATGGTCCAGTTACGGGATTATAAAAATAGTTTACCCTATATATTATGTAGTTAATTAAGTATATTTATATTTTTTAAGTATGTTTTGATATAGAAATGTGTCAATTGTTATGTGATAAACAAAAATGAAAAACGTGTCAAATTTTATGGGACGAAGGGAGTATAACTTTTTTAGATTCCTTGTAAAAGTTGAGAGAATATATATTTATGTGACAATTTATTTAATGTAATATAAATAGATATTAACGTAATATTTTGAATATAAAATTTATTATTAAGATAATATAAAATTTAAAAAATATATTCTTCCGTCCGTCTCTAAAAATTACATTTATATTTTGCATCGTTATACTTAACATTAAAATATTTTTATATTTTTGTATAATTTTTTTGTACAAATCTCTTTTATTTGTCATCTTCCCTTGATCTATAACATTTTAATTTAAATAATTAATATTCAAATATCAACACGCAAAAAATATGTGAATAGTATATATTTAATTTGATATTTAAAAAATATTATTAATATTAAAAATATATTAAAACCTCCAAACTAACACGAAATTGAAAACAAAAAAACATTGAAAACAATAATATATATATATATATATATACATTATTAGTAATAAAAAAAGAAAAAAAAAGAGCCGCTAGATACATATCTTCTCTAATACAAATAAAAAGTACATAGTCATCGATTCATCCAACAACATATGAATAATGTGTGTGTGTATATATATATATATATATATATATATAACGTTGGATAATAAAAATTACAAATATATATATATATATATATATATGTATCATCGTCTAAGATGTGTGTTCTCTCGTGAAGCTGGCCATCAATGACTTGGAGGACGAGAAGGTTCCGAATGCTCCCATTATGATGCCACACGAGACGAGCACGACGTTGAGCAAGAATAGAGGACGACCGATACGCGGCCAAAAGATCTTTGTGTAGAATACACAGGGCAACACAATGCAAATTGCGATGCTGACGAGGGAGCCGGTGAGGCTAAGGACGTGCTGGAAGTAGGGCACGGAGAGGGCCAATACAAGGATCACAAGCAGCAAAATCGACCCTATGGAGCCGCGGATGATCATCTTGGTCCGCGGCCCAAGAGAGTCGGGGAGGTTTTGTTCGAGTTGGATGGCGAATGGAGTGAACTCGAGAGCGTATTTGGTCATGGGCGTCAGCACCGTGGCCCAAAGGGCGATCTTGGTCACCACGAGGTTCCGGGGCATGGATAACGTGATTTGAGGATTGACTTGCGCGCCGAAGAGCGCTGCGCCCGTGAATGCTAGGGCCGTGTAGAGGCATGTCACCGTCGAGAAACTTACTATTGTCACCTGTGTCGTGTTGAATAATATATAATTATATATATAAAGACGAGTTTAAAAACTTAACTATTTTTTTTGATAAATGACGACCGTCTCACCTGAAAACTTAAGTAAAGTTGTAACGATATATACCTCATTAATTGTAGGGTAAATTATATAACACTCTCTTGTGTTTTTAGTAAAAATGCACAAAATACCCCGCATTTTATTTATTGCTTGAAACCTCTTTGTATTAATGTAAAGTTTGCACAAAACATCCTCTTGTCCAAAATTGATGTTTGATTATAAATAAAAAGACCTAAATTAGGCAAGTTTCATACAAATAAAAACCGTAAAATATCTTATATAGTTTTTTTGATTAAAATAAATAAATAAATACTTGACCAATCATTTATTTTTATAGTTTTACGAAGACAAATTGTTATCTGATCTTTAAAAATACTATAAAAATAAATAATTGATCAATTAACTTTATTTATTTTATTCAAAAAAATTATTTAAGATATTTTATATTTTATATTTGTATAAAACTTGCATAACTTAAGCTTTTATTTAGAACCAAACATTAGTTTTGGACAAAGAGGGTGTTACTTGCAAACTTTACATTAATATAAGAGGGTTTCACGCAATAAATAAAACACAAGATGTTATGTGCATTTTTACTAAAACCGCAATGAGGTGTTATATATTTTACCCTTAATTGTATAATCTTTTCCACAAAAATGATAAAAACAAATAAATTACCTTGGTGAATTTTGAAGGATCTTTCATGGAGGTGTAGATGTTGGGGAAGACGATATGCCCGGCGTAGCTAAATACGTAGAGCCCAAAAACGGAGGGAATTTTATGCAATTGCAAGACGGGGATGTGGTGGTTGGCCTTGACACCTCCAAAAAAGGCGGTGCATGAGACCGTGACAAAAATAACAAGCGACATGAGAATTCCGACGGTGGAGAGGAATGATATGGAGGAGAGGTTCCTCAACCACAAGCTCGGTAGAGCTACCAAGACGGCTATGATGGCCAAGATCTCGGATGTCGATAGACTAGCCCAACTCAACTCGACTCCCATGAACACTGTCGCCAAATTGTCATGGAGGGATATGGTGTAAGAAACGAGCGCCATGAAAATCTCCATGTAGATGAAGGTTGTGGCTACGACTCGCCCTTTCCACCCAAAGGCATGGTACCCTATGTCTTTGTAGTCGCGGGATTTGGGATTCTTTTGGAGGCATTTTCCGAGCAAATGGGAGCTGTATGCACACGCAAAGGCGAGACCAAAGAGAATGAGCACAGATACTGAGCCCCCGGTCTCCAAGGCATACGGAGTCGATAGTTGTCCTAAACCTGTACAGTTGCATGTAAGGCCATCTTCAATCCATACACTTCGTTTATACAATTTTAACTCCAAATATGCAGTTGCTACGGTATTTTTACATCAACCATAATTCTATTTTTCACCGATATTTCTCAAATATTTTATTTTTCCTATTATTTTAAACAATTTTTTATATATATAATTTAAAATATTTTTTTAAAAAAATCTAGAAAAATAAAAAATAAATTTAAAATTAAAATGAAAAAGATAAAAAAAAATTCAAAAAAAAAGGGAACGCAACGCCATTTTTTTGGCATTGCACTGTGCCAAAAAAATGGTGTAGGATTTGGCGTCGGTTGGAGGCAACCAAATAAGAATATATATATATATATGTATATATAAAGAAAACAATGAACAAAAGGTTTACCAATGAGCATTCCGCTCATGTTGATGACAGCATGAAAAAATGAACTGTTGTTTCCCGAACCAACTTGAACTTCCATCTCTTCTTCTTCGAAGTCTTCTCCTCTTTCGCCCTCTATGCTCAAATTCATATTCAAATTCAAATTCTTCACCTTAACTTGTTGCCCCGAAACTTCCACCGAATACTCCCAAACTCCATGCTCGGATCCCTCCCCTGCGCTTTCACTCGCCACTCGACTTTGGTGGGACAAAATATCTACTCTTTGCACGCTACTTTTTGTCACTCCCGATTTCCAAATCTTTCCCCACACCATTTCACTATAACAAAATAAAATCTAAAGTATATATGCGTGCGATGAAAGAAGAAAAAAAAATAATAATAAAGTTAGCTCGAATATTTTGTTTTGTTTGATGATGGCTGGAAAAAATGAATGGCAATGGTGTGCCTATTTATAGCAGCTAAGGAATTGATGCCTAACTATGAATATATACTACGTTGAAATTAAGTTTTAGTTAATTCATTCCAAACGTAGATATAACAAAGTAGAATTATATTTATATATAATAAAAATTTGTTATTACATAAGCAATTCAAAATTAGTCGAACAACAATATACAAATTAAAATTCATCTATATACAACCACCCGCCGATATTTTGTGGTATGTCACGATTCTCATCCTATAAATACACATGATAATTAATACTCTCTCTAGGAGTCACATTTACTTTTTGCGTCATTGTACTTAACATTAAAAATATTTTTATATTTGTATAATTTTTTGTACAAATATCCTTTTATTAATATTTCAAGACACTAATTGAAGTATTTTTGCAATTTTTTTTCTTAATTTGTACTATGTTTTGATATAATAATTAATATTCAAATATCAATACACAAAAAGTAAATACGACCCTTAGAGCCGGACAGAAATAATATATCGATAAGACATGGTAAGGGCCACGTACATGTTGAGAATAAAGGTGTTGGGGAGGGATTCTTCTTCCAACAACTTTGGGTAAATTCCATGTGTCATGTGATATATAGCACATTGATGACATAGCTTTTGTTCGAAAAAACTTAATTTATTCGTGAAACATAAACATGTGCTATTTAGGGCCAAACATTGTTTCCTTGTGAATCTTCCGCAACAATAACCTTTTTTTTTTTATTATTATTTTTCTATAATCATTTTATTTTATTTATTTATTTATTTACCTGTATTTGGCGTAGCCTAAATATTAGTACGATATTCCCTTCGTCTCACATACACTACAAAAAAATAATATATTTGTAATGGAATTCCGTCCCTAAAGTTCACGTAGCTAATGTAATTCCATTCCTAATTCCGTCTCTAATGTCATTAGTAACAGAAAAAGTAGATTTAGAGACAAAAAAGTTTTGTTACAAAAATGATTTTTTCTTGTAGTGATAATTTATCCTTATTTTTTTATTTTCGTCCGTCTCATATATATAACTTGTCATTTCTATTTTTGAAAATATAATTATGCACTTTAATTACATTTTAAATTTTAAATTTTATAATTTTCTCAATTTATATTAAACTATTTGTTTATCTTAATCTTAATTTATAATTATTTTTACTAATACACTTCTTAATTATCTACTAACTATAGTTTACCTAAATTCTCGTATCTACAGTAATAAATATCTTCGTCCCATATAATTTATCCATATTTTATATTTTCGTCAATCCCTCGTAATTTGTTCTTTCTTTTTTAAAAGAAATATTATTATATACTTTAATTTTATATTTTATGATTTTCTTAATTTTAATTAAACTATTAAGTTATTTTAATCTTAATCTAAATAATAATTATATTTGCTAAATAATAATTATTTTTATTAATACACTTCTTAATTATTTACTAATTATATTTTACCTAAATTCTCGTATTTACAATAATAGACCCAAAATATATGGGACGGAGCCAGTATGTTTTTGCATTTGGTATAACAAAATCTTATATTCAAATCTAACACGTTTGGATGCGAATATTTATTGATGTAAATTTTTATGAATTCGATTCCCCTCTTCATTATATGATGTCTTTGCAAGTGAAAGATATTTTAGGGTTTGTTCATTTTTTTTATTTATACAATTTGATTTTAATACTTTTGGAATACAAATTGTTCTTTGTTGTTTTATACTCGCTTCGTCTCATATAATATTTGCGTATTACTGTAGCTGTGAGAATTTAGATAAAATATAATTAGTAAGTAATTAAAAGGTGTATTTAATAAAAATAATTAAAGATTAAAATTAAAATAACTAAATAGTTTAATTAAAATTTTTAAAAAAAATTATAAAATTTAAATTTTAAAATGTTATTAAAGTGTAGAATTATATTTTAAAAAAAAATGACAAATTATGTAGAACGGACGAAAATAGAAAATATGAAAAAATTATGTGGGACGAGAAAAATATATTTTAAATTAAAAACTAGATTTGAATGCAATATTTTTTTTAATGAAAAATAGTAACTTGGATAGTAAAAAACTTGAGGAGGGTTAGTCACCTTTTTTTCTTTTTCTTTCATGATTTTCTTTTCAGCAATATTCATTATATTTAATTAACAGTTATTATATATTTATTATTTTTGTTAAGAACTAATTACTTTCAACAAAAATAATAAAAATAAAAATTTAATATTATTTAAAATTTTCAGAATTTTAAATTTAATATAAATTACCTATAAATATATTTAAAAAGTATTGACCAATTACCACATTTTATCTATCATGCTTTAAAATTATTTTTTGTTTTCTATTTTTTCATATCTAAGTTTTAAAATAGTAAATTATATACTTCAAATTATTAAAATTTATATAGGTTAAAATTAAAATTTAAAATATATACAAATATGTATAAATAACTAATTATTTATATATTATTTATATATATTATTACATAATAAAAATATATAAATTATCGTGTGTCCTATAAAATATATAGTGAAGGTAATGAGAGGTGATTTACTATAACTAGTGCTAAAAAAAAAAGAATTGAATATTGAAATATATGATTTGAATGAAAGAAAGAAAATAAATAATAGAATATGGATAATAATTTTAGGGTAAATTGTTTTTTAGTCCCGTAACTGGACCGGACTTCCTTATCATTTTAGTCCCGTAAGTGGAGCCTGTCGCAAACTAGTCCCATAAGTGAAAAATTTTCGTTGTTTTTGTCCTCCAGCGCCAGAGACGCCTGCGTGGCTCGCCGGAAGCCACGTTGGATTTTTTTATTTTTTTAAAATTTTTAAATTTTTTTAGTTGGACCAAATAAAAAAATTAAAAAAAAATAAATAAAATTTAAAATAAATTTTGTAAAAAATAAATAAATAAATAAAATAACGTGTTTGTCAGGTGTTGCTGACCTGGCGGACATGTGGCCTCCGGCGAGCCACGCGGGCGTCTCCGGCGCCGGAGGACTAAAACATTGAAATTATTTCACTTATGGAATTAGTTTACGACATACTCCACTTACGGAACTAAAATGATAAGGGATCCAGTTACATAACTAAAAAAACAGTTTACCCATCATTTCAATATATACTCTTTTAGTATAAATGTACGATATAAAAATAAAAAAATCCCAATATGGAAATAGAAAATTTGAATACATTTGAGTGTTTAACTGCGGTCTATTGTTATGTTAGCCTTGAATATATATTTACTTGTTTTATCCAATATTGTTGAAATTATTTATTTTGAGAAGCTGGGGATTTGAAAGGTGCATAAAAGTATATATTCTTTGTGATATTGGGGTATCTTCGTATTTTACAAGGATCTTAAAAGATAAAAACTAACCACGGTTCCAACTTCCAATGCTTATTTATACTGATATTTTTTTCTGAAAAATATTTACAACGTCACCCGACAAAGATTACATTATCATGGAGAATATTATGTCTATATATATATATATATATGTGTGTGTATGTATGGTAGCTAGTGAATCCATCTACTATTTGTACATAAAAAGAAAAAAAAAAAAGTCATTTTAATAATATAAATTTATATACGCTTTGTTGAGATATTTTAAATGTTCGGTTTTAAATTTAGTAGATTTATAATTAGATTTTATTTTATTCATAGATTAGATATTTAGATTTGAGTCTATCGAGTCTGTTTTGTATTGTCTATATATAGGCTTCTTATTTTGATGATGAAGACGACAATTTCATTATTTTTCCTCAAAATTTGTAACATAGTATCAGAGTTTATTTTTTTCCTACCGTAGATATAGTCTACCAATCCGCGTTTTTCCGGGTACATTTGACATGCGATGTACCCGGAGGTCTCCCAATTTTGAAATTTTTTCTATAATTTCTAGCGCTTTCTTTTTCTAATTTTGATTTTGTCTTGAGTCCTGATTTTGTTTTGAGTCATGATTTTGTCTACGATTGAAGTCATCTTTGCGCAGAGTCATATCGTTTTCGGCTCTAGTGGAGAGAGTTATGTTGTTTTCAGCTCCAGTAGAAGGTCATGTCGTTTTCAACTCTAATTCAATTGAGATCATTGTTTCTGGTTTTGACACGGTAGAGCAGTGGCGACAATGACAGACAAACAATGTTATTTTTATTTGTATCTTTTGCATATGTCTTTAATTTTCTTTATCAAACTCAAGTTGGTTAATGTTATATCACTTGAATTAGAGGAGATGTTGAGATATTTTAAATATTATATTTTAAATTTAGTAGATTTATATATAGATTTGAGGGGAACTGGATTGTGAAAACAACCTCAACATTCCAGAAGATTTAAATTATATATATCTTATATTATTAGAAAAAAATCGAAAGATTCAGGAGTCCATTTCTAATGAGTCTCGAAATTTTTGAAACTTTTCTATATATATATATATATTAATTTAATTAATTAAAAAAACTTAGAGGATTCCAAAGCTATTCTAAAGCAACAAAAAGGACTTCGGGATTTTCGAAGTTTTCTTATATATATTAATTTAATTAATTAAAAAAACTCAGAAGATTTCGAAGCCATTCCGAGGCAGTGAAAAGAGCCTAGGAATTTCCAAAGCTGTCAAATTTAATTACTTCAACCACGCATTAGTCAAATTAACTTAGGGTGTGTTCGTTTGATGGATTTGGATTAAATTCCACTATTCATCCAAAATTTTCCCCCCAAAAACATCAAATCAAATACCTATTTTTCATTTTTTATATTATACTAAAAATCAATTTTACATTCAAACCATCACATCATCACCTATTTATATCACATCATACAACTATTCAAATTCAAAATTTTTACTATTCAAATCCCAACTCAAAATTCAAACCCCCAAACAAACACACCCTTATAGTACTTTGTCTCGAAATTTCTGAAGCTTTTATTCATTATTGTAGATTGACAACATCT